TCAAGTCAAAACATTCAAGGATAAAAATACACGAAAGTACAAAAAGCAAATTATTTCAACCGTGATCCCTAAATGAGAATACTGAAATAACAGAATAATAATAAGACTATAATTAAAAAGGAAACAATACAGTTAATATATTTTAAATAATACACAGAAAATTTCAATTTTCTACCAAACTTCATCAAAGTTAAACCATATTATGTAAGTTCAAATTTTTAATAGGGGCCTGGTTCTTTAGGAATTTTTTGAATGTACTGTATATGGATTGTGCATCTGAACATTAAAAGGCAATTTATTCTTTTCATCAATAGCAGTAATAATGAATGCGAATCTACTATATGTACCACATTTTGTTTTATAAATTTACATTCTAGAGTAGAAAATCTAGTATTAAATTAACGAAATTGGTTCGTAAACTAAATACCACTATTTAAATATATAGGAAATATGCCATTTATTATTTTGAATATTTGAATTCAATACTTTGAATTCAAAAGCACAAAGTAAAAAAAATCCGTCATGCGTTCAACATCTAAACATATTATCTAACGGAACTTCTATGCATAATGTGACCTATACAAACCTCCGATAAAATCCCTCGATACAACATCAAGTAAAGTACGGACTAACATAATAAGCAGTTAAAAAGTGTCTGAGAGTCTAGTTTAGATTACTATAAACTGTTTTGTATTATAGATATATTATGTTATGTTATGTTATATTATGCTATGGTGTATTCAATTCAATTCAAATAAACAATTTCTTCCTTTCAAATCACATCAAACAAACAATAGGATCAGGATGTTGCATATTATTACTGTCAAAGAAAAGACATACAAAATATTTAAAAAAAAAATACAAATTGCACTGTAAATACAGGTTACGGTAAAAGTTTTTAAAGTTAGAAACACTAACACTAATACATAATCTAAATTAATAACTTTATCTGTTATTATTCGTTGTTGTAAAGAAAGACCGTTGTTGAAAAAAAAGAACTTCTGGAACTATACGAGCTTAGCGATACAGAATTAATTAAAATAGGTGATATAAAACTCGTTTTTCAGAAAAACGCGTTTTCTAAAAAATAAAAGGAAAGCCACCGATATGCTTATTATAGGCCTGTAATTCTTTATTGTTTTATGACATTTTAAAAGTAACTAGAATATGTCATTTTAGATGGACTTTAAGTGAACGAAGTCTCCAGGATTTGTTAGTAAAGGCATATACGTGATTCATTGTATGTGATGCATCTTTGATTCTTTTATCTAGTTTAGTTTTATCACGCTACGTTACGTTACTTTAGATTACTTTGAATTTTATTACATCACACCATATAATATATTAAACTGGAGATGTCACCGTGTATTAAATTATTAATTAATTATTTAATAATTAAATTAATTAATTCATTATTCATTCAATTAATAAATTTCACATTAATTCATTCCTTATGATTACAGTTTGAACATAAATGGAAACACTTAACTGCAATTCGTTTGAGGCGAAAACTGTCTATAAATTGTTTACATTTTAAAAAGTTATTAGCTTCAAACAATGAAGCTAATCAAAGAATCGTTTAATAGATTAAACAATTCTTTGATTAACCAATCAATCACTCAAACAATATCAATCGACTAACCAACACACCAATCAATCAATCAGTTTTAATATATTCATTATGAATACAATTCGAGTGGAAATGTAAATACGCATCAGCAATTCATTAGAGAAGCTGTCTGTGAATTGTTTACATTTTTAAGATAGCGGCAAACGGAAAATTACAAAGAAAAAAATGTTCTTCGCCAGTAATCAACAGTCGCACAGAACTGCTCCCATATTCTTTGTATGAACCCGTAAATGGACAGGTAATAAATTTAAGGATTTCGTAAATACAGGGAAAGCTAAATTCTTACCCAGTTAGCAGCAGGCTGAGTGGGTCAATTCTGTTTCTGAGCAGTTTCTTCTTTCTTTCTGGCAACATTTTAAAAGGCTACTAGTGGCAAACTACTAGACCGATTTAATTAAAACTTGGTCAGTAAGACCGGAGCCACCTCCTATTTATGTGTTGTCCACAACTTGGGGTCAAAGGTCACATAAGGGGAATTAGGTTCAAAAAACCAAATATCGTATAAAAGACTACCGTACTTCTCTCACAAATAACATAGCAGTCTTTAACATGTACATTGGCATAAGGCAGAGTCTATAGGGTGTTCAGGGATAAGGGGTCAAAGGTCATTAATTCATATTTGTGTCTTCAAAGTTGATAATCCTTTTAAGTTTTTCCAGGGCCAGATATCTTTATCACAGTTGACTCTCCATGGCGTCACCGGTTCCAATTAAATTTGATCCAATGACAGGAATGTGAAGCGCTGTGTGAAAAACATAAGACGTTGCAGCACGAAAGACTGAATTGCATATTTACATAAAAATGAACTAACAAGAATTTCAGAAAAAAAATTGCAGAACAACCAAAAACTAAAACAATAGCACTATCATGTCTATAAGATTGTAATTGGCATGAATATATATTAACTACAGTAATAAATTGGTAAATATCGATTAAATATACACTCTCTCAAAACCACTGGAAACTAAATAATTGATTACACTACGCTGATAGCCTATCAAATAAGCAATAAACTTTCATCGAGATCGACACAGGCCGAAACAAACTAACGAATTATTTTTGTTATTACCATTATTGTCTATTATTATAATTTAGTAGTAGCAGTAGTAGTAGTCAGGGGCGGATTTAGGGGGCCCCTTTTGGGAGGTAAAAAAAAGGGGAAAAAAAAGAAAAAAAAGAGAGAAAAAGTAAAAAATGATAGCACAGAATGCCTCAAATGTTATGTTCGGGCGTCTAGAACACAACAATTTCGCGGGGGCATGCCCCAGACCCCCTAAGACAGTGTTGTCTCAATCGGCCCAACTTTCGGCCCCCGCTTCCGGCCCCCCTTTTAGACATTTCTGGATCCGCCCATGGTAGTAGTAGCAGTAGTAGCAGTAGCAGCAACAGCAGTAGCAGCAATAGTATCATTATTATCATTATCGTCATTATCATTATAAATAATTTATTAATCAGAATCATTATTATTACAATATCATTATTATAATTATCTTTGTCACCATCATTATTATTTTTCTATTATCAGCAGCATCGTTATCTTCATCATTAATATTATTATCGCCACCATCATCCTCAGTGTATGATTATTGTTTAATTAGAGAGGATAACATACAAAAGCATGTCAAATTATGACGTTGGTATTTTAAAATTGATTACTGTAACTAACCAAAGGCAGTGTAGACAGGATGGAGGAGAATCTGAAAAAAAAATGAAAGAAAAACAGTTTATCTAGGGAGCGATCTAGGAGGTGGATGCTTCCCTACACAGTCGCCCCCTCCACCCACTGGAAATTTACGCTGAATTAAGTAGTTTTAAATCACCTCATATCACCATATTTTGCCGACTAGACCCCACCTTCCACACTTAATCATCTAGCCCATCCATTTCACCTTCACTCCCCTTCCATTGGCCCCCTATTTTCTGAGACGCAACTGATGGAAAAAAAAATCAGTAAAGTAGCAAATATAATAATATATACAAAAATATATTTGGATGTTGTGATTTTGTTTGAGTACTCTCATTCAGCGCAGTTTGAACATTGTCTGGTATGCTAGCTTCATGACCGACCACGTCTATTGTTATGGGGTATTTTTTTTTAATGTAGGCCTATGATTTGTTCATTAATATCTATGTAGTCACATCAGTCTTATATTTGCACTATTTGCAAAGCTTCTATGTTTCATAGTGTGAATAAGCCTATGTTGGCTCGTATGTTGGAAAAAAGCTAATAAACTTTCCCTCTATCTTTTAAAATTAAATAAATGTGGAGAAAAAAATGTAAAGGTTTTGGGCCATGTGCCATAGAAATAAAATTACGTACCCTCCTTCTGTAATATGCCCTCCCCGGCTATTTCACTGTAGCTCCCTTCCATCTCAAAATTGCCTGGTGCTAATACAGTCCCGCCGAGTGGAAGGGAGAAAGATCCGGGGCCCAAGCTTACCAGGGGACCCATAGAAATTGCAGGTAGCCTTTTTTAAAAATAATAATTGCTATCATGAGCCCTCAATAATGGCTTGGGTGCCCCAGTAATGGGCCCCTTCAGATTGACAGCCTCCCCCCCCCCCCCAAAAAAAAAACAAAATGAAAAGAAAAAACCCAAAATTTCTCGGGCTTGAACGCGCTCGTAACTTGGTGCCCGCACCAACCCTTGCCTCTGCTACAGTTTCCCGTCTTGGCGGCCCTGCTAAAGTAGCTTACTTAGGCCTACCTCTTTTGGTCCCGGTTCTCGACTCCATCTTATAAACGGAGAAGATACGAACGATCTCTGAGGCGGAAGCCCATGGGTTCATCGGTATACAAGGACAAGGACGTGGTTTTAGTGGATATCAAATTTTTTAACACACAGTGTTCACAACAGCTTCTCCTGCAAGCAGAGTAGGTTGTCAACTGGAACTCCGTGCACTTCACTTTACCGGGTAAGCAGCCCTGTTTTTCTTTGTTACACCTTAGCAAGTCTGTGGCTCAGATCCCAACCCTATCACTGTTGAGTTCATTAGTGCGTATTAGGTCATACAATAGAACCATACGCACGTGATCCATGTATACTAAATAATATAATGTATCTACAGTGATATAAAACTGTATCGGGTATAAAATGTGTAGGCCAATAATGTTGGTGGCATGTGTCAGGACGTTGTTTCGCTACTTGTATTTTATTTCTTCGTTCGTAAGCGTAAAGTTCATTCAAAATTATATTTCTTTAAATCCCATTTATATTTTAATTGTTGTCATAAATCTCATTATATATTCGGCAGCGAGTGCTTGAGTATCATAAATTTAACACCATTAAAGAATACAAACATCCCAACTCATTATGATTTACTAATTCCCTTAACTAAAATTTAACTGTTTTACTGTAACTGAATTGTG